CAAACGACTGTATTTCAAAGATATAATGAATGCACTCAAATACAATACTTATAATATTATAACAATGATACACTGTGCTAGAGGTAGCTATTATACGTGATTGTATAGGCTTCTAAGGATACTTTTGACAATGGTTTAAACAGAAAATTTACAATGAATGAATGACTGAATGATGAACGAATTTATGAATTTTGTGCAATGCTATTTTCAGCAAGCAACAAAATATTGTCAGCAACTGTTTAAAGCAACTAGTCACATGACTGTCATTAATGCATTTTATGCACCTGCATTTGTATACCGGTAGTTTAGAATTGTTTATTCTGAAAACATGGGAAAAATCACGTTTTTTTGTTTTGACTGTTTACTCAATAATACGACATTACCTTTATCATAGTTAATAGAGGGGAACAGTTGTCGCCAGGCATTCTGAGGCATTTTAGGTATTATTGGGTTTTTAACACGATCAAAAGTGAAAGAACCACATTTTAAGCATTTTTAAAAAGCACATAAAGTATCAACACGAACTACACTACAGTGAAAGATGCCATTTTAGTTGTGCATGGTCCTGGTGACGTCACACTGATAAACTTTTACAATAGCCTATCCCTTGGATGTATGGCGGGTTTCATAGCCCATCCCCTCTATTAACTATGCCTTGGACAGTATGGTGTAAGAAAAAGAGACTGAGGTCTGGTATTCCCCATAGCCCATCCCCTCTATTAACTATGCCTTGGACAGTATAGTGTAAGAAAAAGCGACTGAGGTCTGGTATTCCCCATACAGCTTGAACAAGAATACCAGGGTTCCAGGGGTTTTCTTCCCTTTAGTGAATCATTGAGGATGGAGAGAAGATTTCAAACCCCTTGGAACCAGGACAAAATAAGGTAAAAAATGATTATACCACTCTATTCTCTAGAGAATTATTTCGGGTTCCAAGACCACCAAGAATAATGAAAATATCTTTTTTAAAAAAATACCTGTTTCTTGTTAAATAGTCCCCTTCATGGTTCTCTGCACCATCTTGAAAGGGAGCCTTGCCTTTACAACAAAGCAACAACCGTTGAGAGTGCAATGATAGAAACCTTCTTTCACACCTACAGACAATTATTCACAGGTATCTATCAATGCACGCTCAACGGTTGTCTCGCTTCGATGCAAAGGCAAGGCTGCCTTTGAAGATGGCGCAGGGAACCGTGAAGGAGACTATTTGTGATTGAACTCCTTAGGGGAAAGAATGATATTTTATTCCCCAGGGGGAGAGGGGTGAGAACTAACCTGGTACTAATTGTTGTTGCAGAAGTAGAAGTGGTTCCCTGTTGATCTCTTTTTTTACGTTTAGTCTGTTTCTTTCTGGCTTCAGACCCTAAGATGTTTACAGTGTTGTAGCAATCCAAAAAGGTGCTTTAGTCAAGGAATTTGATAATTTAGTTGCTAATGATTTCCAATTAGCAAAGAGAGTTGTCAACATTAGATATACAATTTTTCATACATTGGTTTTCGGCTTTCACAAACACATCACCGATCAAAGGTGTAAAGATTTTCAATTTTTTTGTAATCAT